TCATCGGATGGCATAACTGTTAATGTCAGTAGTGTGCAGAGGGAACACATGATATCACATTCGATAGCAAAGAACATAGTTTTGGAAAATGTGTCCGGTTATCTCGTCTTACATCAGCGATTGAGCTCGGAACCGAGGCAGGTTTCATTTATTGGGCAATTGAAAGGCGGTTGCTTGTGCTTTAATTGGCTGCGTTCTCAGTTTCATCGACACAAGTGGACGAATCACGGTGAGTGGGATACTAAAATACACTGACGTGGCTTTCTTCAATTTTTTGCTGTCGATGTCTTTCTCAATCCAATTAATTTTTTAACATATTCAGGAATCTAGCCTCTTATTGAATTTCACACGACATTTTTATTTCAGGTTGAATCTAATACCGGAAAAGTAAATCATTCTCTCTACTTGAAATAAAAAAAAGACAAATATTTTAATATTATTCTCATATTAACGTAACCAATTCAATTGAGCTGAATATACACAATGAATGTATATTGTTAGATCAAGATCATCAAGGAAATGATTAATTGTTTGTCGACTTGAATGCAATTATGCTATTAGCCCCTGAAGTTCCCTTGAGATAAGGTAATATTTGGGAAGTGTCACTTGGCTGATAGGCGCAATATCCAGGAAATTTAAAAATAAAAATTGATTCATGCGTTTGCTCCGTGCAGCTGAAAACGATCATGATAACTTGGAAAGTACACCACTTGGCCGTTCGATTCTGATTTGCCCCTGAAGAAGATCCTAACTAATTTGTCTGCGACATGAACTCCATTTTACATCCACTCCTCATTATACCGTTTTTACGTTGCAGATTAAAACTATCGAACTCATCTGTGAATGTGTTGATGACGAAGCATCTGCTGGTTTCTGTAGAAAGTCTTTCTGAATACCCAAGATCATCTGAGAGAATGTTCCCCTCATTTCATCAGCTTAACTGGAAGGTCTATTGATTTCAAATTTGTTCGCAAAGTTCCAGAATCCCTGAAAAGTGAAAACGTCATCTCAGCAGCTACCAAGTCAAGGATTTACAGGATGTTTCATGTTTCAGTCAGAAGATCGCTAATTCTTCTCATGGTCACATAATGGCTCTGGAAACGTATGAATTGAATCTTGGATTGTAGTGACTGTCAGTTGTTATATTTCTGACACGTAACTAAATTCAGTTGACGATAGAAGAGATGGCGATAGTTGAGGGTTGATATTCGGACTGGAGGCCAGTGACCAGCGGTGTGCCAGAGGCGTTGTTTCTGGTACGACTGCTGTTTTTTTTTTACTTATATCAAATGTAAGGACGAGAATATGGGGATCACGGTGAGTAAGTTTGCAGATGGAACCAAAATTGATTGTACAGTAAGCAATGAGGAATGTTATCTAGGAGTACAACAATATCTTGATTATATGGGCCAACTGACGCGAAAGTCGCAGGTAGAGTTAATTTTGATAAATGAGAGGTTTTTGTTTTCGGAAAGCAAACCAGGGCAAGACTTGCACGGTCAATGGTAGGGCAATGGGCAGTGATGTTGAACTGAAGTGTGAGGCTCATTCTTCCTTGAGAGGGTTATTGCAGGTAGATAAGCTGTTGAAGAAAGCGTTTGGCTTGCTTTCCTGCATTGGCCAGAGCATTGAGTATATGGTTTGGCGCAACATGTTACATCTGTACCAGACATTGGAGAGGCAACGTTTAGAATACTGCGTACAATTCTGAACATCCTGCTGTAGGAAGGGCATTGTCAAACTGGAAAAGGGTACAGAAACAAAATAAGAGAATGTTGCCAGGTCTGGAGGAGGTGCGTTAGATAGTTTGAGCCTAGATAAACTTGGAGTTTATTCCCTAGAATTGAAAAGCTTGAGGGCTAACATTATCAATGTTTTTAATATGATGAGCGGCATAGAAAGCTGAATCAGAAGTGTCTTTCTTTTTGCAAAAGTGCACAAGAGTTCAACGCTAGAGGGCATAGATGACAGGGAGAAAATTAGAAAAGTGGCATGAACACAATATATTCACACAGAAAGCGATGCATATATTGAATGAGCTGCCAGAAGAAGGGATAGCAACGGCAGAATTGCAAAACTTAAAAGACGTTTGGATAGATAATGAATAGGAAATATTTCGAGGGATGTGGGGCAAACGAAGCCAAATGGAGCTAATTCAGTTTGGGATACCTGCTTAGCATGGACGAGTTGGCCTGAAGTGTTTGGTTCCATACCGGATGACTCTATGAATCTATAAGAAGAGAACAAGCTTGGATCAGGCTGTATCCTAGAAATAATCCCCTGTACATTTTCTCTGCAATCTAACAATGTATTTTGCTGAAATAGATTCATAATTGCAGACCCAGGCCTGTTTATTTTTTAATAACTGCGAAGGATTATCATTCACAATAGGACTCAGTGCGCATCAATGCATGACAGTGGCCATCAACCTCAGATCATTCATGGGCAAGCGGAAAATACCTCAGTCCACGTGTACTCACTTCGGTGAGCCCCAATTTGAGAACCAGTAAATATCACTGGCAACGAAAATGCATTTAGGAGGTAAAAGACATACCCGATGAGGTTAATGCTGTTGATGTGATGTATATAGGCATCTAGTAGGTCCATGATGCAGTGCCCAACCACAGATTTGTGAGGAAAGACATAGGTAATCTAATCGAAGAGAGAGCAGCAACAGAATACACAATTGACTGTTTGCCCAGAATCAGAACGCAATGTTAAATTGGTATTTTTCGGGCTGCAGGAAAGCTTGTAGCTGAGTTACCCAGGGATCAGTAATGGGTCCTTTGCTTTTAAACCTCGTTTTAATTTCTGTATACAAATAATTCGAAGGTTAAAATTGACACACGAGGCGCTCTTTGATTACTTATTTCGCATTATTTAAACTCAAACAACGGAAACTCATATAATTCAATAAGTTCAATGTGCATTTGGCCTTCCATTGTCGCATGCTTTGTTTTATCTGTACGTGTTGCTGTTTTTCTCTGTGATGGAAGATGTGACTGAGATATTTTCATCTGGAAGCAATTCCACTGACCACACCGGGGTGCGCCCTGAACATATTCAGAAGATCAGCTTCGCCCTTCGACAGAAAGTGATTATTTGAAGAAAACAAAATATGTGGGGAGATGGAATCCCCAGAAAATCGCACAATATTACTGAGTTGCTTCAACTTGTCCTGTACCAAATCTGGTGCAGACAGTGATCACAAATGCTCGAGTTCAGTCTTGAAACAATGGCTGCTAAATTCGTCCGACTTTGATTATGCTCGTGATCATGATTCCAACTGCATCCACAAACAAAATTGCCAAGCCATTTGTTGCTTCGCATTTCAATTTTCAAGTGGTCATTATTATCTTCTGCTTTCTACTCCACTGTTTATCTGCTCTTTCTTTCCAGAGGTGAATTACAACAGATTTGACGTCCCAGTCACAACCAGAAGTCAAATCAGTGAAGGCGAATGTTAAACATTACGGTACAGCTACTCGGCAACTGACGTAGCTATAAACTATGGCCTGTTCTGGAATCGCCAGTATTCACAGCAAGCGTCTGGGTCTGTGCTCTGAGCCTATAGTTACGAATTAAATGAGGCCACCCCAGGCCTTTATCTATTTAGTTGGCAACCGTCCTCGATGCAGACGTTGTCCACTTCCAAGAAAAAAAAAATAAGGCAACAGACAGCGTTGGTTATCACGGTGTACTGAGATCTACAGTGAATAAGAGTCCCTCGACACTCATAGACAAACTGGTCCAGGTCAACAATGATGAGTTATTAGCAAGAAAATATGAGGAACTGGATGCTCGGCAAAACGTACAGACTATGAATGTTAAAATGGATCCTGATCCGAACGGATTTGTCACTTTAGAGCCAATACTTGTCAGAGACATTGGGCGTCTCTTTAATCCTGGATCCAACTGAGATAATTGCCGACCCATTGGCAAATAATTAGAATAATGAGCTATAATTTACATGAAACATGAAACATCCTGAATGATCTTTCCGTGGTTAGTACGAACACAAAGCCTTCACTTGTTGAGAATTTGAGATCACAGCACAAAGTCTAAAAACTAATTGCCTCTCATTTTTTTTTTTTCCTTTTCTCTAAAAGGATCGTTTGACTTTGTCATTATTTTTTCTCTGAACACTGAGGGGTGGGCCATTAAATATATCCAAGGCCGAGTTAGAGAGAGTTTTGATGTACAGGGGAGAAAGAAGTGTTATTGTGCGGCGAGGAAAGGAGAACGGAGACATGATGAGAGCATTCATGGAGGCGCAGGGCTGAAGGGTTGACTGGTGTATTAATGTTCCTATTCGTCATGATCTTTTGAAGATGCCCAGGCGTCCTGAATCAATTTGTACTTATAAAAGTTCCAAATCTCGTGCCTATCGATCAAGCATAATCTTTCCAAAGTGATCGAATGTGAAAGTGGGCTCAAGGACGCCAAAATCTAAAGTGTCTGAGGTAAAAAAAATAGGGACTGATTGAAACCAAGGATTTACTCGAACTAGTTCCATAATTCTGTCAGAGATGTATGACAATTTATCATTTCCTCGCTTAGCACATTGGCAATTAATAGTCCAACTTGGCAGCATACATTGATTAAATCCTGAGTATTAAGTAAATTTTGAATTATTTCCACTTTCAGCTAACTACAGAGGATGATCTATGCATTTGAAGAGAACGCTAGTAAGCTCGAAATAAAATTAGCTTAAATCGGGAAGAGAAAGAATGTGTGAAATTTAAAGGCATGATAAGGAGGGTGTGGAAGATAAAGACATCAATGTGAAGGATTGGAGAGAGTCAGTTGCCTTCTGTCTGAATAACTGTGGTTGGTCTGCAGCTGATATCATGTCTGTGAAACAAACCAATCTGAACAAGGGAACACGCCCTTCATTTGTCCAAGAAGCGAAGGCTGTATTCGATCTGGGTTTAGTCAATGGTATAAAATCACAAGAGTAAACATATTTTGAGAAGTGTGCTGTTGCCTTTCGGATTTGATGTCATGATTTCTCTGTGGGCTTTTGTAATAATAACGGCCATGGCACCGAGTGAGTCTGGAATCAATTTGTTAGTACTTCATCTGTTTTGCTCAGATTTTTGACACCTTAATTGTTTTTGTTGCAGGAACGAGCGGCCAAGATTCAGTTTCCCCGGAATCACTTGAGCAAACGATTCAGGAAGGAGCTAATGTAAGCCTGAACTGCAGTTACCAAACAACGTTTACTGCTCCGACTCTCTTCTGGTACGTCCAGTATCCCAGGGAACCTCCGAGATATTTATTGAAGAGATTCAACAAGGAACAGGGTGACAAGTCTCAAGAATTCTCCAACAGGTTTTCTGCTGTTTTGGACAAAGAAAAGAAGATAGTTACATTAAAAATAGCAGCGGCTACTCCCTCTGACTCTGCTGTCTATCACTGTGCACTGAGCTCCACCCTGATACAGAAGTTCAGACAGCCCATACAAAAACCAACAAGACGATCTCAACAGCTCACCTCCCTCTAACCCTACAACACACACACACACACACACACACACACACACACACACACACACACACACACACACACACACACACACACACACACACACACACACACACACACGTAATCAGATGTGTGAGCCGGATTATTAGCTCCATTTGTTGAAAACCAAATTACGAAGTTCAGCTGTTCCAAAATATCTTTACCGCGATTCACATAGTTTACTGATCTATATAAAGTCACTCATTATATCGGTTGTACAAATTGTTCATGATCAGGGAGCAGTGCATTTAATAGCGGCACCAATATTACAACAAAATGAGTTCTTACTCAACAATAACCAAAATCGAGTTTGACACTACTGAGTGATCAGAATTCAAGATAATGTTCGTTTCAATTTTATTCAGCAATCATCGAAGAGATGTTGCACTTGCATTGATTTTCTTTTCGACCGACGTCGATGGATCAGTGGATATTACTGGACAAAATGGAGCTGGGAATTGTACTGAAAGTTGGCAGTGAGTGGATCAATGTAATCTTACTGAGTGGAGGAGAATGTTCAAAGGGCCAAATGGCTCAGTCCGTCTGATACTTTGTAATCATGTGGCCAGATCTCTGACGTCATGGCCTAGAGAAGAAAAGGACGTAAGAGCCATTTGTCTGTCACCTGGTTATTCTGTCAGAAATGGACCAGTTGTGTCACGAGACACATATGACAGATCATCAGCTCTGGCTTGAAGCAATTCAACTTCAGTAACCTCTCTACAAATCTACTATCAGTTAAGAGCATAAACAATTAATTTTCAACTGCCTTTGTTCAAACCCTCTATTCACTCTGCAAACGTGTCATCTGTTACTATTTTCTCAATTGTCGTTGCTGCTGCTCATTTAGTTGGTACGTTACTCCGATGAATAAAAATGCTCACTTGTAGGTAATAAGACTATAGCAATATTACCTCTGTCTATATATCCCTGTGCTGCAGTATATGCCATAGACTTGCTAACATTGATTATAATTGTCTTTTTAAGCTGTTTTATTTCCATGTTTCTGCAGGCGTTAATTATGAAGATTCAGTGTCACAGTGGGCGCTTACAGAGGTACAGATTGATGGAGATTTAGTGAGCATTCATTTCAGCTACTTTACAGCAATTGATTTATATATTTACAGTTGTACCGACACGACTAGGGTAATTCTCCGAAATTCTTGATCGACATTCATTAAAACAGGATGCTGTAGCATGTGACGTTGTCACTCGATTTTTCCTCCTCTGAGTAATTTTAAAAGGGTTGGGAAATTCACTACCGGTGAGTTGCAGCTGTTTGACAGTGCAGTTTATTCCTGTGTGGTGAGAGACACAGTGACAGGAACCAGATGGACCCTCAATGATAAAGAAATTCTGTTATAAACAACCCTCAACAGAAAGCAGCTGTGACCCACAAAGCTGCACCAGTTATTGCTCGTCGTTTTGGCTCGATGCCATTCCTTTATACATCAAAGGGATGAGGGGCAACGCTGACTAGCCAGCATTTATTGCTCATCCCTAATTGCTCAGAAGGCAGCTGAGAGACATTCCTGTGGGTCTGGAGGCACATGCAGGCCAGATCAGGTAAGGATGGCAGTTTCTTTCCCCAAAGAAGATTAGTGAAACAGATAAAATTTGCCCTGACAATCGACTCATGGTCATCAATATATTCTTCATTCAAGATGCTTTATTGAATTCAAATTGCACTATCTGCCGTGGCGGAATGTTATCTGGGTCTCTGGATTAATAGCCTGTCTATAATACCATAATACCTTGCTATCGCCTCTCCCCATTATGGTGAAGCTCACTGTAAGGAAATAGACCGTGATGTCAGAGGGTATCAGCTCCGAGATGGCCAATCGGTACAACCACTTTGACTGCTGGACTGAATCAGAAAACCACAGCTGAGCAAAATCCTCCGTCAGTTCAGCTGCACCGCTCATGTCTCTCCGGGCTGCAAACACTGGCTATCGGCCTGGGTACTAACAGTACCAGAATAAGGAATGAAGATTGCCAGCGTAAGTGCAGCTTAAAGTGACATCTTCTGACTGTGGATTTGTAAGCGAAGGATTCCGCTGAATAACAGAATCTGGCACACAAAAGTTAACGAGAGTGGAAGTCATCAATGACATATGCATTTAAATTGAACTGCCGTTAAAAAAAAGAACAATCACATTCAGTGCGACATGATATCAAGAAGAAATTAGAGCATACAGTAATTAATTCAGACAATTAAACTTGTCTATATCCGTGATGGCAATCTAGAGGAGAATTCTTTTCTTTTATTCCCTTGATCTCACTTCTTTCTGCGTGTCCCTCTGTTCATCTCTCCTTCATCTTTTCCCCTGATTTACCCTTCACGACTCAATTGTGTTGACACTCCTTCCGCCAGTCCAATACTTAATGAAAACACCACTGGCGTGTTTCAATTTTAGAAATACAGAATATCACGTTTTTCTAAGTTTGAAACATTTTACCACAATGAAGGTTTCTGAGATTACCGCGAAAAATGTGAACTGCATCATTACTGCTGCCCTTCCAGGAGATTTCGTTATGTGTTAGAAATCTGTGGAATGTCAAATAAGAGAAACAAAAAAAAACTTCAAAGAATTGGCCGACACTGGTCTGATGTCACTTCCGTCACAAAAAGCATACGTAATCTCTGTTTCAGATTGGTCTGGGGTCATTTCTATTCTTAGATTTCACTGCGTGCTTCTGACATTAAACTCACATTCCACGGAACTGAGAAAATGGCCATTAAAGATAGACAGCATAAACCAGTCAGTCTGATGTTTACTTGATCTGAGATATTTATCTCAAAAAACAAAAAATTCGGAAGAAGGGTCGTTGGACTCGAAAGGTTTATTCTGTTTTATCTCCACAGATGCTGCCAATCTCACTGAGATTTTCCAACAATTGTTTTGAAACTTAGTTTGTTCATGGCTTCAGTTTTGATCAACGTCCTAACAGGGATACACAATGTGATTTTTCTTTTAGTGTCACGCTCTTCGAATGAAGCACAGAGCTGCGGAATGGATAGAATGTTTGGACTTTTACCTCAAAAGGGCGTCAACATCCTGAGGAGTGCAGAGGTTTTGGAGATGGTCTGCTTGAAATGTACAGGAATGTTCTCCGTGACAACTGTGCATGATGGATCAGGATTGTTCCTGGTAGCTGCACACATGACAGCATTGAAGAGAGGTCTTAAACTGCCATTTGACTTTCCGTGGCTATATTTTTGGGACTTGTTTTCAAGGTCAGATTCATGTCTTTGCAAAATATGCTCATTTTACATTAACTGTGAATGCCTCAGCAATAGCCTTCCATTGACTAAACCCCATGAACAGACCCCATTCCAAAGTTTCAGGAAACTGGCAGTAGTGACGTAGAAACGGTGATCAATAGTGCACAGAAGCAGGGAAACCTCTTCAAAAGGCAATTTAAAAGTGATTGAGTAAATTTTATAAACACTAGTTAAAGGGGAAGTATGATTTGGAATAAAATAATATTATTTAAACAGTCGAATGTTGTGCTTTGGTATGATTTTTGCGGAAGGTCCTATGACTGTCACTGTACTTGCAAAATTATTGCTTCTGCTTATTGGTGTGAGTGCACCCACTTGAGGACACACCTGGGAATCTTAGAGTGCGCATTTGGACATGATCGAAATATCCCTGCATCAGCGCAAGATTAGTGGCAATGTTAGATACAAGAGCCCCGAAGTAACTTTAAGGAACCTTTATTTTGGTATAAATCAGTAGAGAACCACTTTGAAAAATCTAAATAAAGCCCCCATGGTATGCATCTTCAGGAAGTAGCTCAGAGCTTTCCTAGGATACTGGGCGTACCAGAAAAGTCTCGGAGAAAGTTCAGCTGTTGAGTAATGACTCTCTATTGTCACGTTTTGCGCTTCCAAAACCGTTATTTCAGATGATTTGTGAGAAATCGACACCTGTGAAAAAAATGGAGAACGATTCAAAATTCAGAGAGAATAAATAATTCCTGAATGATATGCTAACTGTTTCAACCCTGACTCGGCAGACTGGAAGAAAATTAATATGAGGAAAACACATGGGCAACACATAAGATTTGAGAAAGGGTTTAACAGAAAATTAGCCAAGAGGATTTCCTTATGTTGTCTCTTCTAGAACGATGCTAAGGTCTTATCGAGAAAGTTGGTGGCGTTTAAGAGGGACAAGATTGGCTGCTCTGTTAGGATTGATGATTGATACACTCCAATCAAAGGCAGCTGCATAAAATTACTCTCTCTCATTTTTTTTTCTATTTCTCACTGATTTTTTCAGGCTCACTGTTCTTTTGATTTGCGTCGGTCACTTTTACAGAGTGGACATCTCTGCCCCACTTCTTCCTACTTTTCTTGACAGTGTGAAGTTTCGGAAAATAAAAAGAAGCGTTTCAAACTTCTGAGACAAAAAGAAACACTTTGCCCAAAATTAGAACAACTAACTGTGTATTTGTCAACCTGAAAAAAAAGCAGAAACTAGTGGACAAGCACAACAGTTCTAGCAGCAACTGTGAAGGGGAAGTAGAGTCAATGGTTTTAGTCTCATGACCCTTCATCTGAATCAAAGAAGGAACATATCCGGTGAAAAAGACGCAAGAGGACACTGTCTCTTTCTCTTTTTCTTCTACAAAGACAATAACATTTCCAAAATGTACAGAATATCAAATGTAAGGGCCCAAGGTTCTTCCCACTGACATTCCAGAACAAATGTTACACTCAGGCAACACATTTGCATAACTGTAGAAACAGCTCGGAGAAAGGGTTCAGGCTTTTGGAATAGTGTTCAAGAAGAAAAGTGTGGATTTCTTGTTGCAGTGAACGCTAAAAAGTTCTGCAATTTTCTCAAGAACTTGTTTGTGTTACACTGAATCCCAACACCCTCCCCGCGACCAACCCCGAGATATTGAAGGTGGGATCAGAACAGGTTGATACTTGATGATCAGCACTGCAACAAATGCTAAAAGTCCGCTTTT